CTCTCACATTACAATAAAAATCTTTTTATTTCTAGCCTAACCCCTGATATAATGCAGATGCTACACATATTTAACACCTAAATTTCCAGCGATCTAAATCTAAAGTTTGTGGGGAAAAAAAAAATCCCAATTAGGCTAACCACACTCAACAAATCCATTATAAATCAAGGCTCTCTACTCCAGGTGGCTTGAGTATGCTAATTCTAATAGAGACTTATAAACATGAAGTCAAATATTAAACACTAATCCATAATGAATTAGAAGTTGATGGAGGGAGAGTTTAGTATGAGTGACATATGACTCCTTACAGAGAGTTCTCCTCATCTGACATGTTCCATGGTGACGAGCTAAATATAGTACTATATCCATACCATAATGGTCAAGGACAATGGCTGGGCAAAAAATCAAAATCAGCTTAAACAGACTAAGTTCCACAAAAGCAGGACTGCATCTCCTTATCTTTGTATCCAGAGTACCTAGCCCATTGGAATACAGTAATGCAAAGACTGTTTCTAAGACTATTTGGAGAATGAGTCTAGTTAGGGTCAATGAATGTGACCAGTGTTGAGGCCAAAAGAATTTCAGTTCTATTTATTCCGCTTATATAATCACACAATGTAAAGCTTTTTCCTTCCCTCTTCCCTGCCCACAAAAGAGAAATGCTAATTATGTACTCATCTCACTCATCCATATTTATGGCAAGCCTACCTTGTATGAGGAAACATGAGAGGACAGAAACTTTAAGTTGTTAAAACACCTTGGTTCCTTAACAATCAAGTATATTTTTAATAAATTACTCTCCTTCAACTTACAATAAAGTTCTATACTAAAATCAAGGAGGAATGAGGTATATGAACATAAAATTCAAGCATGTCAATAATAAAATATAAAAATGTCTATTTATGAATAACATGAATACTCAACTTTATATGTAAATCATTTATTTAACTGTTCATTCATGTTGTTAAACTGTGGGTCCTAAAGGCAATCAAATAATTTCTTCAAATATAAGAACACTTTTTGTAAAGTTAGAGAGCAAAATCCTTGAAGATTTTAAAAAGAGAAACGAAACAGAAAGCCTATCAAATGATTTATAAAATGGAAAAAGTTTTAAACTTTTTAGAATTTTAAAGCCCTTCAACAGTTTGGATAAAAAGAAAGCCTTTAATTGTACAATGACTTCATATTTGAATACAAAACAAGTCACCTTAGTCAACAGAGTTTGGTATTTATGTGTCAACTAAGTATTTTATTGTGACTATGTAAATTACAAAGATATTTACTAAGGCCTTGCTGGTTTTTTAGTTGATAGAAAATATTCCTATATTTGCTATATCAGATTTAGTACTGAATTTGGTTTACTTATAAAAGGCTTATTCCATGAGGTAAGAAAGGGGAGATAAAGCTATTTTTATGTGAAGCTATTTCTTTTCTCAAATATTTCCTAAGAAGCTCTATTTCCAGACTCACTTAGAGCAATATTAAACAGCACCAGGGAGCTTCCTCATAATGTTTACTGAAAAAACATTTTTTTTTTGTTAAATTAAGAAAATTTTGTTATCACAGTAATTTACCCACTAGTATATCTGCAGGACATACAAAGAAAAGTAAAACACAGTATCTGAATGTTTTCATCAGGAATAAAGGGACTAAGAGAATTAACAGTACTTATTTCCAATTGTTCTTTATGAGAAAATGTGCTGAATGCTAACTATCCCCAAAGTGATGTAAGTGATAAAAGATTTACAGCAGGAACCAATCAGAATTCAAGCTAAAACAGACACTGGTATTTAGTTCAATAGAAGAGATTCCCCACTAGGTCTGACAATAGAGACTTAAGCAATTGGAGGGAAGAGGGAGACTTAAACCAGCTTACTAATTACAATGCAGTTCTGCTTTGTAACATGGAAATTTCTATCATGGGTTGGGATTAAGAATTTATTTTGTTGAAAAATTATCTCTAGAAGTAGCTGAAAGCACTAAAATGTTTTACAGCAGCATCGTATCCAAAGTGCAAAGTAATGCAACTAATGCATGCATATGACTTCTAAGGACACTTTAAAATACTCTACAAATAAATCTGGCCAAGTATGTAAATAAGTATGTATGTATCCCTATGTACAGTACTATCTTAAAAACAAGACACTGGAAGCCTCAATACCCACTCATAGGAGGTTACCTATACACATAATATATCCATCTATATGATGCATAATCTACAGCTGCTCAAAAAAATCTCTTATATGGCAATGTAAAATATACTGAATGAAAAAAAATCTAAGTTCCAAAATAGGGTAAAAACGATGTATATGTACATTCCTTTAGAAGTATATTTTCAAGGAAGATTCAGGAGAAGATTCAGCAGAAGCTTAAGGCAGTTCCTTTGTGGAATGAAATAAAAAACTACCTGTATTATTTGGATTTGTACTCTGAACATGTATTACATGTATGTCAAATGACTAAAGTCATTAGAATAGAGCTAACAGTTGAAAGTACTTTTTCATACAAAACTGAATTCTCAGTGTATTTACTTCACTTATAAAACCACTAAGTGTAAACAGCATATCTGCAATCTACTCAAAACAAGTATTAACAACACTGTGGTTTCTAAGACAATTACAGAAACTCCTCAGGCCCTTGAGTTCAGAAGAGGACCTGCCCCTCAGTTGAATAGCTGTAAAGTGTTTTCACTCAGTAAAATATCTGGCTGAACATCCTTCACTAAATTTTACACAAATCTTCAATCACACAGTTGCAAAGAACTCCCTATATAATCAATCAAGTTGGAAGGCAGGCTCTGACACCGCACGTAAAGATACTGGGAAGTTTTCTTCTTTCCTGGAAGTATTTCACATACACAGGAGTCTCAACACTGACATCCTACCATCAACCTTCTCTTGAACCCCCCAAAAAGCCTTAACCACTTCTCGGTCAATGAGCTTCCAGTGTATGAGAAATAATGTCTTTGGAAATAGCCACAGCTATGTTTTTAAGGCCAAGAGCCAGAGTGATTTTTTTTTTTAAAAGGAGAAATTCAGGTTAGATCTAATGAAATTGAAGACTTATACATATGGTATAGGCCCAGTTAAACAACGGGTGTCTCAGTTCATCCCATTTATGTTGAAACCACAAATCTCTAAAGATCACAGAAAATGTGCCTGAAGGAAGAACAGAGTAAGGTGGAAGCTGCTTAGAAAGAAACCCTATAGGCAACTTCACAAAAACGGGGTGGGGAGGAGGGAAATCCAGCTTCTGATGTTAGAACAAGACTGAGAAAAAGACTACAAGGGGGTATGCGCAGAGGCAGCGACAAGGCGGGACACATTTCAAAAGGCAGGGATGGGGAAGGGGGAGCAGAGGGTTTGAGAGATGAGAGGGCAGGAGCGAAGCAGGGGTCGACAGGGAGCAGGTTAGGGTTGGGGAGTCCTGGAAGGCTGGGCTGGGAGGAAGCGGGAAAGAAGAGGAGCGGGAGCCCCGAAGGGTGGCGGGCTAAGTTGGGGCCCGGGGCCCGCCTGGCACGGCGCAGCCTCCCGCCACCGGCTCCCACCCCTG